ACTTCCCTACTCAAAGAGTGATTTTTGCACCTCTGAATAATAAATGTATGCAGTAGATATGACCATAAGTATCTGCAGCCCTAAAAACATAAGTTAAAATCTCAATTTGGCCCTTTGTGGAATTAGGTTGTGTATGACTGTCCTAAAGGGTCAGGTGAGTCCACTTCTCCAAAGGGCTGGTATCCCTGTCCAAGTAGACATCCCATTATTATGTGCCCATCTATCAAAAGTAAAGCAATAATTTCATAATTTGCAGTAAAAAGTAACCTTCTCCTAGTAACCTTAACCTGATGATACACCCCATCCTTGCAATTCATTGAAGCAAATTGGGGTCCCTTTTCGAAATCAGCTTCTTTAAAATGCTCATGTATCGAGATAAAGTATTGTGATTATGATGCTCAGAAAATTGTATAGTATGCAGCTGGTGCTCTTGTTCACTTATCTGTCATTCTCTCTTCCTCTCTAGCTACTCAAGTAAACAAAACCACTTTGTTTCTCATCATGGGTTGTGCTTCACTTTGGTGAGAAGTGCTTCATCCATGTACCTCCTTTCTCTATAGAATTCAGACTCATTTTCTATGGATATTTGGTGTAAATAACTGATAATCTTGACAGCTATCCTATCCAACTTTGATATGACTGTTCTATTGTCTTCTTTCTCTCAAAACCTTCCCACCCCTGACTTGGGCACTGATCTCTATTAATCCATTCTGTCTTGACTTGGACAATCCAAAACAGGCATCCAAGAGACATGCCTTTCTTCATAGAATAGGATCTCCATGTAGAACACACTAGTGCCATGTTGCTTCCTCTGACCTTCCAAAATAAAAAAAAGCAGTTTTTATTTTTCTTCTCACTTAGACAATCAGCAACAAGTGCTACTGCCTTTGTCTTGCCAGGCAAATAAATTTATTTTAGCATTCCTCTTTCAATTACTTTTGGTTTACTTATATATCTTAGGGGAGACTGGGTTACTGTGGGACACTGGACTTTTTATTGCCTCAAAATAGATAGAGATGCATGTAAATTGCTACAAAAGACATCATACAACCCCTCACATCTGTACAAGTTTTGGTTTTGATTGTGCTGCTTGGGTGGAAATAGTCAGTGATATTCACATTTTCTGCCTCTTGACCAAATATTTTGCATGTTAGAATAATTGACCTAAACCAAAAATGTGTTGTAAAATCGCATAACTGAGGAGTTCTTTGGAAAAAGGGTGTATGTGCAAAAGATGTAATTTGAGATAAATGATAAAAACTTCCCATAGCTAATCTGAAGCTGATCAAAACGTAATTTTCAGTAAAATGGTATCATAGACTTTTTTCCAATTGAACTTGGGGTTTTAATGAATTTCTTTATCTCACATTGTTGGGATGCAGGCAGAAAGTGTTTTTGAACATACACCCTTTTTCTATATCTGCACTGCTGAAACTTTTTCTAATGAGTCTTTCTCCACTTCTTTCCAAGTTAAAAATGATAATATATCAATAAATGTATCTACAGATTTAAAATGAACTCTTTCTTAAAGAATAGCAATAAAAATGTGAATATTCAGGACATGTTTCATTCACCAATTACTCAGCAGTGATCCATTATTAATGTATTCATCATCTGAATCTGGAACTATTTCATGGATATCTCCAACTTCTCACATCCTTCCAGAGGCTTGAATGACTCGTCCTCTTTCTTTCCCTTTCCTCATGTCTGGTTTCTTCCTTATTTTCACTTTCAGTTTAAAAAGATGAAATAATTCCACCAAAATCGTTACGTATGTAAGTGCTAATGAAATAGTTGTGGAGGCCTGCCATATAGAGTAAGCATAGAAAAATCTGCTTCTCCTTTGCTGAATATGCATCTTAACCACCTGCTGACCACCCTATTCTATGACAAGTCACCTAAAGCCACCCATGGACACAGATATGGAAAAAGGGGTGTATGGGCACTTATGTCCTTTTTATAGAGAATCCCTCAATTACCTGCCTTGTTTTTATGATCTATCATTGATGTAACTTTGCTACTGACCATTCTAAATTTTCTTTAATCTAAATTTTACCAGTATTTCTTTACCAGTGTCTCAGAGGATATGGTGTCAAATACCTTATTCAATTGTATTTATATACAGATATTCTTGTCTGTCTGCAGGTCATTTTTTATTATCTAAGAGGTCTCTTTTTCCAGTATTTGTTACCATGGTAATAGGAGCCAGATATAGATACCATAATTGGTTATCACATCTATCATTGTGTGACTCTATATCTGTAAATCCTTTGCTTCAGCACAAATGTCTTGAACTACAAGTGCAAAGTTTTGTTTTTAATTGATTCAAAGCCAGTTCTAATCTCATGACATGATAACTATTGTGTACACTGTGACTGAAAGGGTTGAATGTTTTCATCTGTGTTGACATTCAGCCTACCTTCTGATTTTTAAGAGTTTTACTTTTCAACTGGGATCAAAATGTGAAAGGCATGCAGTTAAAGCTCTTAAAGATTTTGCTCAAAAACCTCCAGATGACAAAACATAGTGAGTGCTGATTGAAAAAATAACAGGATTTCTCTACTGAGCTGTTGTCTTCTATTGTGGTTGTGGATGTGTGTTGGTATGCTAACTAACCATTTCTCTAATGTAGCCTCCAGAGGAACGGGACAGACTCAGGAGGAGGACTGTTCGTCTCAGTGTAAGGCCACCTCAATCTAGTTCAAATATTTTCCTTTGCATGACTTTTTGTCTGTAGCTTTGAGTATTCATCAATTGCTTTTGATTATCTGCACGTTTAAACTGTATATTAATGTCTCCACGTAATTTATTTCTCTGCATTCAAAGGCCCCTCTGATGAAAAATGCCTGACTGGTAGTGGTGAGATGAACATCAATAAGGGAGGGGAACAGTCATTGTGTTAGATGGCCAAACCTCACTTGGCCCTTAAGGCTTTCTGGGCCCTTTTGCTAGAAGCATGACAAATATTTGTATTGCCAAGAAACTCATTCTGCTGAATTTGACTTTCCCCCCCCCCCCATAGTTATTCCTTATACTTGATTAAATCTCACAAATTTCTCACTAATGGATTCTTATTTCAACTGGAAGTTTCTTGTCATCTTCAGACCATTCTCAATGAAAGATTACCTTCACTCCTGCTTAGAAACATGGGCAGTCTCATCTAGCTTATTGGACCTAGAGGGTTTCAATACCAAGTGTTTATTTTGATAAATCCTTGGATCTTTTATTCCCTGCTGATTCAAATTTGACAGGCCTTACTTTCATCATCCATCATCCTCCTAAGTTTGGGGGAAAATATAAAAACCCCTTGGATGGTAAAGTTAATGGCAGAAAATGAATTAAATTATGTTGTTCATCATGCACATTCTGTATTTAGCCAATGTGCCTTCATGGGATTTTGAGCATATAAAGGCTGAGTGCTGTTAGAAAGTTTTTCAATAAGTTTTCCCTAAACACTAAAAATTGATTTTTTCATGTTAGCTTAAAGTCAATGTCTTGCAGTTAGAAGCATATCTCATGAATGCAAAAATTACTGGCTAAAGGCTGGCCTTACCCTTAAGGTTACTGTTTTTTTAAGACAACTCCCAGAGCTCTGGTCTCATACAGGTCTATTTTCATAATAAATTAGATAAAATTAATGCATTCAAGATGGATACAGTTAAGTGGTTTCAAAATTCAGATCCTCAGAGCCCTGCAAAAAGATCCAGACATGGACCTTGAGACCTTGAGACACAAGTGAGATTATTTCCCACAAAATTTCACCATCCCTGTGAAAATTATCTTAGTGACTCACCAACAAATGAACAGTATATCTCACACATGGAAAAGGTACTTTAATGATGATTAGCACATTTTCATAGTATATTAGCAAAACTGCCAGTAAGGAAAACATGTTTTGGAATGATTGAGGTCTTTCAGTGAATGGCTTTCACAGTATCCTCAAAATTATATTGCGGAAGGACTTTGCATGCACAGACCCTACCATCCTGAGTCTTGAGATTATGTTTTCTCAAAACATCAAGGCCTAAAAAAATTACAATTCTAAAAAGCAGAACCTCAGAGTGGCATCTTGCTGAAATAAGATTTTCAAAGTAAAATTTGTTTACCCTCCTGTCAGAAAATAAATTGTTAGTTTTATTTGTTTTAGATTCACCTTGTGTAAATACATGTATGTCAATAGGTGAAATGGCCAATTTATCAAATAAGCATCAAAATTAATCTTGTATGTTGACCATGACCTCCCCACCTTCGAGTCATGACTATCAAAATCTGCAATCCATTTGATTCTTGGGTTCTTCGTTTAGTCTATTTTTATGCTATACATATGGTTGTATTTCTTTTGCAACATCCCATAATTTTTTATTAAAACAATTGTTTACCAAACTCTTTCAAGAAATTGACCCATGCATTGCTTTTGGCTCAATCAGTGAACATTTTCAAATAAACTTCCACTTTCCTGATTACAGTCTCATTGCTACTCCCACAAGCATGTCAAGACTCATTAGTTTCATCAGCCATTTTCAAGACTTCTTGAAACAGTTATCCTTCTACCTATCCCGAAGGGTGAAACCATACTTCTTGCTTTTGCATAGGCAAAGCATGTAAAGACAAACCATCAAACCTCAGGAACAATAAATAAATAAATAATGCAGTTTTTTCAGGAAAATTTTTTCTGCTTTCCATATTTAAGAATTGCGGATCCACTTGGTGGATTCAGGTAACACTAGTGACCCTGGGTACCTATTTCCATTAATAATTTGGCAAGGAAAAAAATGAGATATTGAATGGAGTGCTTAGATGATTACAGAAACTTGGTAGGTATCCTCCAGCTCTTCAGCCCTATGAGGAGAATAAAAATGGAATGAATATAGAGGACACATTCTGCAGGAGGAAGAAAATGTTGCAAAAATTCAGTTCTGTGGGAAACTTTTAATAATGAACAAATTTCAGCATATCTGTACACCTAATCTATGATCTTGTGATCTTTCTTATGGGACCAGTTGAGGGGCATGGACTATGAGATCATGCATCCCCATGCAGTGGTGAAAGAGGTGGAAGGATGGCTCTCATCTTGTCTGCGTGTTTTTCAGTTAGATGAATACCTCTTCCCACCACAAGAGAAGACCTTCACTGCCACATACAGTAGAGACAAGGAATACCTGTAAGATTCAGCCATGTTCCTTCATTTCCTATTGTCTTCTATAGCTCATATTTTTTATTTTGTGTTGTAGGTTTAACATGAAAGAAGACATCTTCACTTCATCAATGAGGAGTCGCATTGTGGACTTCATCCTGTGTAGGAAACATTTCCGTGTAGAAACAAAAGCTTGTGAAATGTCTTTTGGAGTCCAGAAATTGCTCATGGATCGAACATATGATGCTGCCTACCCACTACATGATGTGAGATGGCACATTTAACTCTAAGCAGGGTCTACCCCTTTTTAGTTACAGTGGAAGAAAGTAAAATGACTTCTCCTTTCATCATAGGGTGATCTGGTGAGTGAAGGGTCCATAAGACACCTTCTGAGAACAGAATGGGGCTCACTCCGCAAATTGCACAAGTGCCAACCTTTAGAATGCATCAAAGATTACTATGGAGTCAAGATCTCCCTATACTTTGCATGGTTGGGATTCTACACTTACATGCTCATCCCTGCCTCCATTGTTGGCCTCATTTGCTTCCTCTATGGGTGCTTCTCACTCTATTCAAATGAGCCAAGGTCTGTCTTTCTTCATGTACATTTTTGGTGTAATTTACTCTGACTTTGAAGCCAATATACAATCAGGAGAATTTTTTTTATTGCAGTGAAGACATCTGTAATCAACATCTGAACATAACTATGTGTCCAATTTGTGATCACTTGTGTGACTTCTGGCACTTGGAAGAGACTTGTCTTCATGCCAGGATTACCTACCTGTTTGATAATCCAGCTACCCTCTTCTTTGCTATCTTCATGTCCTTCTGGTGTAAGTCCCACAAAAGTTTGGAAGTTCAATTTTTACACTCCCCATGGCTGAGAACTGCAGTGTGCTTGACCCCTAACTATTGATTCTAGCTGCAATGTTCCTTGAGTTCTGGAAGCGCTACAGTGCTGAGATCTCACATCAATGGGACCTGACAGGATTTGACATTCGAGAAGAGCATCCTCGACCTGAGTATTTGGCTCGCCTGTCATCCATGCAGGAGCAGCGTCTCAACTATGTGACAAAAATGCTGGAGCCTCATGTCTCCTTTTGGAAGATGAAGGTCCCTGGCCTTTTTATCAGCTGCATTTCCATCCTGTTACTTGTAAGTTTAATTCTTGACTCCCTGTCAGCCATGTCATGTGACTTGGTACAAGATTCTTGATGTGTCTCTCTCAGATATCATTAGCTCTAGTGGCAGTGATGGCTGTGATTCTGTATCGCATGTCCATGGTAGCTGCCTTGAGTTTGCATGGCGATTCTTATGTGACATCATATGCCATGCTCATCACTACTACTACTGCTGCTTCCATCAACCTCTGCTGTATCCTTGTCTTCAACCAGGTTTGCAGTTTCTCTTGCTTACTTTTCACCTGATGTATTACTTATCTGTTCTTCAGTCCTCTTTTTTCTTCTATTGATAGCTTTACAACCGGTTGGCCACCTACTTGACAGAATTAGAATTGCCAAGGACACAATCAGAATTTGATGATAGCCTGACCCTGAAGATCTATCTCCTGCAGTTTGTCAATTATTATGCATCCATCTTTTATATTGCATTTTTCAAAGGGAGTTTCATTGGATATCCAGGATCATACAAACGATTGTTTGGTTTCCGTCAGGAAGAGGTGAGATATCTTCCTTTTGGTTAACTTTTCTCTTTGTATTTCCTTCTTTGATTTCTAATTCATGGTGTTCCATTTAAAATGCAACACAGAATACAACAGCAATAAAACAAGACAAACGAGTTGTTTGATAGTTTTTATTTGTTAGGAAGAATATTACAGGAATGTATAGAACAGCTTCACAGCAAATGCTGAAAATGTCCACCCCCTTCTTGAAGACAAGACAAGACAAGACTTCATTTTTTTTACCATAGTACGTGATTGTTGTTGGGTTGCGTTTTAAATGGAACACACTGTATATGGCCTATTTGCTATAGGCAGTCCACAACTCCACACCTCAACCCCAAACTGGAAAATGAAACTCCATTTTCAGTAGGGGATTTAAGCCTTGAGTAGTGGTGAAATTCTGTATAATGAGCAGGCCACTTTTTTTGTGTCACCTTTTCAGTCATTAATTATTTTCTGGTCTCTGTAAAATATAATCACTATTAGTTTCCATATTAGTTGATATAGTTACTTTTTCCTAACTATGTCTGTATGGATCTTATGCCTCAGTACAATTATCTTGTGATTGACTCTGTAGTTATTGTACTTATAAATTGACTAAAAACTGTATTTTTGGTATGTTCCAAATCGGCATACAGTGACTGAAAGGGTTTATTCTATAATCAATCAGTTTGGTTTGAATACATTTTTGCACCACATAATATGAAAGTTTTTCTGGACCTCTTTTCACTGATGTTTTTCACTTGATAGTGTGGTCCTGGAGGATGTTTGATGGAATTGTGTATCCAGTTAGGAATCATAATGGTTGGGAAACAAGCAATGAACACAGTTCTGGAGATGTTTTGGCCGTAAGTATCTTCTGGTGAAACCCCTTTCATATGCCTTTAAGTCCTGTTAAGAATAGGTATTCAACCTTTATGGCTAATTAAACCACTCTCTGATTGAGGACATTTTTATTTCAGGATTTTCTTCAAGTGGCTGCAGTTAATTCAACTGGGAGTCAAAGAAGTTGCATCCCATCTTCCTTCTACACGTTGGGGAAAAGACTACAAACTTGTGGATTTTGGGACTCAGGGCCTTTTTAATGAGTACTGTGAGATGGGTGAGATTCTGATTAATCATTCCTCTCTTCTGTTTTCTGAAATACTAGATTATAGGATTTAGCAGCCAATTTACTTTGATTCATTTCTGAATGCTGGGATGATTTTTCCAGTTTTGCAGTTTGGATTTGTGACCATATTTGTGGCTGCATTCCCCCTGGCCCCATTGTTTGCCCTCATCAACAACATCTTTGAAATGCGATTGGATGCTCGCAAGCTCCTGACATACTACAGGCGTCCTGTGGCACAGCGAGTCATTGATATTGGCATCTGGTATACCATCTTGGAGTCAGTGGGGAAACTTGCAGTTCTCACCAATGTGAGTAGGATATGTCTGCAAGACCTCAAACAATCGGATGTGAAGGATAATATATGTGAAGTTAGGGAGAAAAGTGGTCATGTTTATGAAATATGCTAGTCCACCCTATTTGATAATTTTTTTTAGATTCACCATCAGAGCAAAGGAAATTGGGAATGGTTACTCCATTTTCCTTGGCAGTATTTGTCTCTGTATATGAAGTAATAAGTCATCTTATTATTTTAAATACCATTAATTTCAATTGTGGATGCTGGCTATCTGTAGGCCTCATAATCTTTCTTCCTTCCACTTTTTCATGGCTGAGAATTAATTTTTCTGACCCTTGTTTGAATATCTGTACAACTGAGGAGTCCCTGCATTCCTTATGAGTTATAGCCAGGTGCACATTTCCTTGGATATACATATTGGGTCCTCCTTTGTTTAAGGAAAATGTGAATGAAAAATTGTATTGCCAATAGATGATCCATTAGTTCCAAAACTGGAATATCAAGAAACATGCCTGTTGTTTTACATTTGTTTGGCTAAGAATAGAGGACCTGCTGAAGCACCATGTTAGTTTGCTTAAAGGCCCAACCGGTGTTGTAGAAATTGATTTCTCTGCCACAAATAAATGGAATAAGAAAGACATGGCATTATTCCAAGTTTTAAAGACTATCTGTGCATGCAAAATAAATGGTTAATGCAGATTCAGTAGAAAAAAAGTTACCATAGAAAGTCACTATATGGACACCTTTACCTTTGTATTATGTAGTCATCAATATATGTTGAAGACATGCCTACCTCTCAAGGGCTTGAGAGGGTTTAAGGAGTGGCTATCTCTTCTCTTCTGGTTTAATGGCATCTCCCTTGTTTAGCCTACTGGGTACAGCTAGGAAGAAGACCCACAACTTTTGACCTAAATGTCTCTGCTCATACTGGGACAATTTTCATGAAACTTACATTGTGCATAAATGTTCCCAACAGACCTTTAAAATTTCATTCAAATTGATTCTATTGAAGCCAGGTTATGAGTAATTAGTCAAAAGAAATTCCAAAATTGAAATGGACAGAAGGTTCAATGTACAATGTACAATGTTCAAGGTACTGGCTCCAATGACTTTTTGACTGAGTGGTACCAACAGCTAAGATCACATTCTTTGGTACCCTCCCCTGTAAATCTCCCATGAGGCACTCCCAGTTGCTCAAATAGTCTCAAAACAGCAATGTTGCTGTGATTGAAGTGACTGACAGTCGAGTAGATCATTTTGTGGCCCACAAATGCTTCTTTATTACACCTCTCCTAACTAATATTCTAAATAATATTCAAAATAGTATTCAAACATTCATTTGTGTTTTATGTTTTGCCATGTAGGCATTTTGCAAGTTGCACTGGTGATGCAAATGAGTCATAAATAGGGTCTATCAGTTCTACAACATTTTTTATGTACTTTTTGTGAAAATATTCTATACAGATGGACATATCCAAGGGCCAAAGTTGAGGCTAGGGAGACGTTTTCTTGATGATAGTCACTAATTAACCATTTTAATAAAAATGGAGAACTTTTTTCCAATTTTTACTTTAATGATTGCTCAATATAGCCATGCCTCATCACCAATAAATATGGATAAAAATTATAGGATTTGTTTGAAATAAAACCATCTGTGCTCGGTGCAAGTTTCATGAAAATAACTCTAGTGGGACATTTAGCATTGCCTCCATCTTGGCTACTGGATAAGAGAGAGCCTCATTTCAACTGATTTCAAAATTGGTCCAGTAAATGATTTGTTGCATACCTGAAACATTACCATTGTTCTCCTTGCTGTGCCTACATATTTTGGTTCTTTAACCCTTTGGCTGTTTGCTTGAGTATATACTCAGGCTTATGCAGTGGTAGCATGGGTATGTTCTTGGTCTCAGAACATTCACTGTTTCTAGGTTACTTCACAGCTTTTTATGCATCTAACTGCTATCTTCAGTAGTTATCATGGTATGAAAAACATATTGTACATTACATAAACTATTGTTTTTAAACAATTTCATATGAAAATGTATCAACCATCCCCCTTGTGTTGTAACAGTCAAAGGGTTAACCCATTGAGCAGTGAGTTTTTTTTCTGACTGGTCAAGCCCCCAGGGGTGAGTTTTTTCTACATATGGGCTCCAACTTAGAATTCTTTACTTTTATGAACATAAACAGTTTTTACCTTGGAAGTATGTCAAAATAACTTTAATTCAAAATAAGTAATCTTGGGTAATCAGTAGTGCTTTAGGATGTGGTATTATTATAAAACAATAATGAAATGTTAGAAATATAATGTGATAATTAAATTATATATTTGAAATTTTTTTTACTACTTAGACATGAGAAACAGGTAGAAAAACAAAAAGTAAACAAAAGTAGCTTTTCACCAACCAGATTCTTTCCTCCAATGTGTGAAGCAGCATCTTATTGCATCTTCAAATGAAAGTAAATTATCTTATTTTTAAATTACATTGCTAAAATTTAAATTTTATTATATACATTGAATTCCACATGTATCATGATTTTCACTTCTCTACAGCAGGAAATTGCTGTAACTATCAGAATGTCTATGCAGAAGAAACTGCCCCCCGCTAAGAAGTAACATGAAATCAGCAAAAAGTTTAAAGACGGAATTGATAAAATATCAAATGTGAAATACAGAAGTAATCGATTTAATCCCCTTTTCCTTCTCATTTCCTGTGAGGGAGTTTGTCATGTAATGCCTCTTGGTACAAACCACTTCTTGTCCACCAATACCTTACATGTGAGACATTTTGTCATCGGTTTATTGCCAGTTCCAGGGCTTTCCAGATTTGTCATTGAAAATCGAGAGCATACCTCTGTCCACTTAATTTTCAAAATGGAATGGGCATCTGTCTGTGAGAGAGTCACACTGAAAATCCTCTCACAAACCACCCCAAAGTTAGTATTTAATTTTTTCTTTTGCTTTCTGTGCTAGCTTGAAGATGGCTGTACTGAATAAAGCATGACATATTCAGGAACCTCCAAATTTAAGCTCAAACTGACAGCATCTGTACAAATGTGGCGATTTGAATTCGAAGATGCAGGACATACCAATATGGCCACACTCTTGCAAGACCGGGAGCGCATGGCTGTACTGGTCCAGCCACACCGTTCAATGGGTTAATAAAACTGATTCCAGAAGATGGGACTGAAAATCAATTCTATATCACAAGTTAATCCAGGTACTATCCTTTGGATGCTGTTGAGATTGATTTGGAGGTTATCTTCTTTTATATAACATCTATTTTATGCTTGTGTGGGTGGCTTGTCACTCCCTCAAAGTATGACTTACAATGGCTTATTCATTTCCAATGCTAAGCCCATCACTTTCAACTTTGGGCAATGTGAAGTGTTAGGAGTATTCAAAGGTCAGTCTCTAATATTTTCTTTAATATTTAAAGTATCTTTTTTATTATGAAAAAGCCTTGCCATTGTCATATGACTGGCCAATTGACAGTATATCAGCAAAGGGTGCAATCTTACCAATGATGGCAATTAATAACAAAAGTTCTTGTGCTAAAATTGTGTAATTGGTATTGATTCCATGTCACTCTGCTCATTACAGGCCTTCATCATTGCATTTACTTCAAATTTCATCCCACGTATTGTGTATCGGATGAATGTGAGTCCAGATGATTCGTTAAAGGGGTTTCTCAATCATTCCTTGGCATACTTCAATGTCAGTGACTTCCCACCAGAGTATGCTCCACAAGTCTCTGGCCACAGTGTCTGCAGGTTTGTGTCCCTCTGTCAGCTAAGTGCAAAAAAGACATTTATACTGAGGGTTGCTTTGAAGCTGGCAAAAGAAGTGCTACACCAAACCTAACATGATTCCTTTCCTTATACATGCAATCCAATTACTTTTTTCATCAGGTATCCTGATTATAGAGAACCCTACTGGAGGGAGGACAAATACAATCCAACATCCATGTTTTGGCATGTATTGGCTGCCAGGCTCGCATTTGTTGTTGTTTTTCAAGTAAGTTAAAAAATCCTTGAACAGGTTATTTCCAATTCCCATCACGATGTCCCCATTATTAATGTTATGTGGTTATTGCTTTTAGAATCTTGTGTTTGGGTTGATCAATGTCATTCGTTGGATTATACCTGACACCCCTGGGAAGCTGAAAGACAAGATCCGCCGAGAGGCATATTTGACCAATGAGATAATTATGGAACAAGAGCTCTTGCGCTCTAAGACTAGCCGCTGGACTGGAGCATTTGGAAAATGGGCTGGTCAAGGGAATGACAAGGATCCTCTTCCAACTCACAGGACCCAAAAGCCTGCATCACCTGGTGGAGCAGGAGATTTCTCATCTGAAATACAGTACCCCAGGCTTCATGGTGAGACGAGCTTTGCAGAATGATTTCTGGAGGCACAAACCTCCTTTGTCAAAAGTATGACGATATAAGCACTTGCTTTACATCTGTTTTCAACTTGCCAAGCATAATACTCATCTATTGTTCTTGAAGAATCTCTCTTGGTGCTTGCTGTTTTGTGTATTCCATTTTTATCCATGGAACATTTCTTTCTTTCATGTCTAGTGTGTTCATACATGCTATTGCATGGTACCATTGACATGCCAATTTGGTTATTAGGCCAATTTGGTGTAACAATATTTTATGATTGTGAAGATGCCAAATGTTCTCAGGAGACCAAAGTATGACATATTTGAGAATTCTTTTCTGTGTAATATTTTTTGTGTGTGCAAGTTCCCCTCAAACATGCATTGTTGTTAGATCTGCAAGACAGAAGTGTGGAGAGCTATCATAAATTGAGTTCACTTGCTTTCCTGGGCTTCTTGTTGCTCCCATGAAAACTGGCTCATCTAGTTTGTGTTCTAGTCTCCCAATCAAAAAAAGAACAGGAAAATGCAGTGTCAAGTTAAATTATTCTTCACAATGAATATGCTACACCATGCTGTAGCATATTCAGATGGAGATTTTTTACTCAGCGCTATGGATAGCATTGAAGTTTTGTCTTAGGAAGATGATTTCGCCAGAATGAGATTCTGGATATGCTGTGTGAATAGTGATGGATAAGGAGGACCAGGCTGCATCTCATTACTATCTCTTTGTGTGTCCTTGACTTATAGTATATCCCTTGTTGCTATCCCCAGTGGAAATGTACTAAGATTCCCCTCAACCTTAAGTACCATAGACTGTAAGTAGGCTCAACTTCCTATAATTAAATAGTCCTAATCTCAAATGCTGGAGAGAAGAGGAGTAAATCCTTGAAAACTCTTTTCTGCATGTTACAAGTACACCAGATTCATAAGGTGTTGTCTTAGAAGGTCCAACATCAGATGACTCTAAATAATTCCTAACTTTGCATGCCTGTAGATAATAAACCATTAAAGGTATCTGCAGGAAATTAACAGGATGCTACATCCAACACACCTTGGTTATATCTGGAAAATGTCAATGAAATAGGTTCATAAGAACTAGAATGACAGTATTTTTTCCTTGTAATGTCAAAATATCCAGTGTCTGTGTGTGTACCATGGATGTTTGCTGTGCGCAATGGGATTTGCTTATAGCTGTCCAGCTTAGCAAGCAGATGTGGAAAAACACATTCAGTCATTTGACAGTTTGCAAAAAATAGTGATTTTTCTTGGTTTTGAATGACCAATATCATTAAAACTCTTTGGAAATTTGAGAAATGAAGTACATGAGTTTTATGGGACAGCATCTATCTGCTCAGTCAGACTGGGGTAAATCAAGTCCCATCATATGCAGAGCAAGCAACCATGGTTACCACACTTATGTGCTTGCTATTTTGACATCACATGAGGAAAAATCCTTAATTGCTTATCCATTAAAATCTGGTGTTGGAAGAAATCAGTAAAGGATACTGAAAGTGTCAAGAGGTCCTCAGGTTAAAAGAAACAGCTGCTGATTAATGACCTAGCAAGAGGGTATAGAGAAATGGCAACTGGCATCCTTTGCCCAATAGGTGAGAAGTCTTAAAATATATGTAAGCATAATTTAGATAAGGTAAATAATAGGTTCCTATTCCCCCTCCTTCTTGGTGGTGAAATCCACGTATGCTTGATTCCTCTTGAAACTGATTGATGTCCCCATCCTTTCTGCCCTTTTCTCCATCAAATTATACTTTGCTCTGGTTCTCAGGGACCAATTTCTATTATATCAATATTTTCAAGTAATAACCAGCACATATTACACATGTCATTCTGTACATTTCCTGCCAATACCTTGTATATAACTTCCTTCTGTAGGCATACAAAGTTGGGAATTTTCTTCTTTTGGGGCATCTGGTATATTGTAAACAAAAAAGAAGAAATAAAGCCTCTGAAAGTCTTTGAGGGTCCATATATATGCAGAAAAAAGGGGGAAATGAGTGAAAAGTTGCCATGTTCTTCCATTGTTATTATTGAACACTGTTAACCCTTGTCTTGCTGCTTTGTTGACAACAAAGTATTAAGTGGAAACAGATGCTGTCTCCTTGACAGGACAATCATGTCAGTCAGTGCCACAAATGTCTCAGACACATTCTTCAGCCTTTGTTCAATCGAAATTTTTTAAAAGAATAATTATGTTCATTTTAAAATGATCAGAAAGACATATCTGTTGGAGTGCCTTGAAATTGTTTACCTCTTTTGGATGTGTCATCTCTCTCTTTCTCTCTCATAGAGTTTCTCACAAAAAGTGACACTTACCCCTATAAAATTGAAGGAATCTGGATCCTTCATTGACAGACTTTTGGGGTCCTTAGATAGCACTTTTGATTGTGAATGTTTTCCCAGACTTCTGGAACAGCTCAGGAGAAGGTCTCATTCATTTCAGTTTCATAGCATCAAGGACTGGAATTTTTTTTTTATGAAGGAAAGAGCTAAGAGTCATCTGCTCTACCCTATATTGGTTTATTAATGCCTCTTCATCATCATGCCCAATTAGGTAAGAATTTAAAGTGAAGTTTATTCAGAAGATTATTCTTCCAAAGGAGAAAAAGCTGCATTATCAATTGCATGTAGAACAGAAATGTTGGATCTAATTTTTCCTGTATATAGTTTTACTTCACCTGACCAGAATTGAGAGGTAAAGTGATTTGAAATCTTCATTAGTTCCTTTTTTTAAAAAAGCAAATTTCACTTGTCATGACAAACATTTTAGAACAAGTAACTGTAATTTGTAGCTATTTCTTTTTCAAAATTACTCATATCTGCACAGTGTCCCTCAGAGGCAACTTGATAGCCTTAGACTTATTTTGAGGTAGTTCTTGCTCTGGAGGAAATTTAATCTCCTGGGAGTCTCATTACTTGCAGATACTGAATTATTATCAGGTCACTATGATCATTTACAGATTATGACTTTGGGAGACTGCTATTTTTTTAAACTTAGTCCTAGCTTATCACAAGCTCCCCAACTATGTGTTCAGTTGATGTCTTTGCATGGGTTAATCCAGCTTGCCAATATAAAGTGCCTCTAGTTTCATTACTGAAATCCTCAGGAAGTACTGCAAGCAAGATTTAATTATTTCCTAACTTGAAAGTCCTTCTGGCTACAATTCCACTCATCATTCAGAATTTTTTTTCAAACAAAAATATGTTGAAGCAGGTGAATATCATTCTGTGATGTTCTGTCCATCAATTCTTTTATACTACTTGATGAGACTAAGAGACTGAATATATCAAATCTCATATTTCATGAAAATTTGTTATATCTTCATATATTTTCTTTTTATGAACATTTGTGCCATGAAAAGAAATAACCTTTTGATAATATTGAGAGGCATGTTTGGATTCTGCAAGTTTACAAGGAAAATATTATTCTTATGCCGTTGCCAGTGCCTCACCATTATCCATATCAGACAGCAGGGTATGGCCATAAAAGAAAGACTTTTAACCAGTAGATCTCCACTCTTATTTAAGCTATTTTCATGAAGCTTTCACATTGTGTTGATGGATGTTTCCAATATATTAACTTTTCCTAACTCATTTATTTGATACAAAGCTATAAATATTGATTAAAAAGAAGTTAGATAGTGAAAATGGATAAGAACCTGTGCTAGTAGTGAAGTGGAAGGCACATTGGTGTGCTCTGCATATCATTCAGGCCATTGAAATTGAATCTCTTCCATTGAAATTGATTTTTTAGGCAGGCCTTTCCTCATAGATAGTTTTGATAAGGTTTTAATTTCCCATTGATGACAGAGGAATGAATATATCAAAACAGAATGTTTAAGCTCTGTTAAATAAACTATGAGCAATTTCTCAAATTTTCCTCAGTCTTCATTGGCTAAATGAGGCAGGAGGACAAGGCACTCAGGAAGGGTTGGAATCCCCTGTCAATTTTCAGTTTCTCATTTCTTTTGAACAATCATGGCTTTGCTTTGATAAAATTAAATTTTGAATGAAATTTCAAAATCCTGTTGGGAACACTGTCTATGCACAGTGCAGCTTTTGAGAAGGTGGCTCCAGTAAGAGGTAAGATACACAAGTTAAAAATTTTCTGGTCTTATTTTTCCATACCCTGCATACAGAATTTGTGCACACAGACCACATTCATGCCTAGAACTAAGATTCAATCCCCTTTGTTGATTTTGCACTTATGTCCATGCAGTTATGTCTCATAATGCAGTATCCTTGTTTTGTTTGAATACTTCGTGTCAGTTATCTCTTGCCAAAATGAAGTGAATTAGAAAATAATTATGTATACTCATGAAAATAGTCTTTTGATTTTTTGATATCGAATTAATGTAACAGGAGAAACTAGGAAATTTCCTCAATTCTGATCTTTCAGATGAGAACAAGAGACTGAATACTGGGGGTTTCACCTGGGATGCCTCTGCAATGTAGCATTAAGCAGCAAAAGTTTTTCATTTCTGCCTGCCTGCACACTATTTGAATGTGTTGCATGAGTGGTCAGCAGAATTTGTAAACTTTTTTATGTTTGACTCAGCTTTCAGGTGTCCCAAGTTTTGCCATTTTTCTTTATGCCATGGATAAAATCAGCTTGCCCTTCATTCACTCCTCACCCATCCTCATTTCTGACAAATTCTCAGCTAATTTCTTCCATCAGCTCTGGCATTTGCTTGCCAATGAGGGGTTTCCTATTCCAGAGCAGAATGATTTATTTTCAATCTGCAATACTTTTACCTATTTGTGGAAGGGTGCATTACTCTATACCATCCTTCCATGTGGTAATTCATGCATGGAGAATCGTTTCATTCATTGACAACCATTAAGCACTCTGTAGCCTTATATTTTCTTATACATTCATTGACTTTGCATTTGAAAATTGTGCTAGTGCGATGTTCTGTGGGTGCTACAAGATTGTGCAATGACTTTAGATGCTTAGGATTAGGGAGAAAATGGGATCATTTGGAATGATTCCACCTGTGCAAGTGGCAGTTTTATTTGCTACAGCATCTCAAAAATGAGACATTTTTTGTCCAATTATGACAAAATTGAAATATCTTGGATTTAAAGTGAAATAAGCTTAGCATGTTTGAAAACCCCACTACTGTAAATGAGAGCCAGTATATGTCCAGGTCTGAGGGGTTCTCTTGTGTGAGGATTTGCTTGTGTTTGCCCTGCCTTCTTCTTGTTCCTTGAAATTCTGAACCATTATGCTGGCAGCTGTTTGATGTGAAATGTATGCTTTACATGTTTTAAGATTTCCAAGAGTTTTGGTATCCATAAACATCTGAGGCCAAAAGTTAATTTTTTTATGTCTGAGGATTTATCAGGTTTCCTTGCTGTCTTATTTTCTCATGCAATATTGAACTTTTCTGCTTAAATGAGTTGGTTATGTAAAAATGCTTTGCATATATGAAAACCCCAGAAGTTTTAATGAAAGCCATGTCCAGGTCTTAGAGCTTCCCTACTGTTTTGAGATTCTCTGAACTTTTCTGCTCAATGGTTGTTGATTTCCTTTAGTTTTAATGACTGTCATACTTGTGTCAATGTCTTGGGGTCTTTTATGTCAATGGATTTGCCAACTTTCTTTGCCTTCCTGTTTCCTCTCATCTTCCTGTAGTTCCATGACTTTCTGATAAAGAGTTGCTTGATCTCTTTTTAATGTCTGATCCCTTGCCATTGCTCATGTTGTCAATGTAGCCCAGTATTCTGCTTTGAAAATCTTCACTTGACACCATTTCAGCAAGAACATGCTTGTTTTGCCCAAATCATGTGTTGTTTATTCCTGAAGGCCCTATTGCTTCAGGGAGAGAGTTGCAATCAAGTTGAGCTCCTTGAAGACACTCAGGCACATTCTGATTGAGTACTGTGGTTGTGACTTCATGTTCTCTCCAGCTCTTCAAGAATGATGTCATTGAAGTCTGATGGATTTTTCTTGTACCTGATGGCAGCTTCCACAGCATCTGTAAAAAGCTATAAAATACCAGAATTCAATATTCTCATCCTCCAAAAAGGAAAGGACTCTTAATTTTGCATCATTCACCTTCACAACATTTGTTCCATTTGCTGCAGACACATAGTAGATGGGGATGTCATACTTGGCTGGAAAATTGAAGCTCCTCTGGGTCACCTCCTCATTCACTAAAGATGGTTACATTTCAGCAATAAAAGGAATCTTCATGCAAGAATAAGAAAAAGAAGCAAAAGCAAACCATCTATTTTATTGACAGCACAGAAGCAGGGAATGGATGGGCGATGATGACGGAGCTCTTTATACCAAGTTGTGAGATTCTTGTATGTGATCTTTCGTGTGGCATCAAAAACCAATATGCATGCATGGCCTTGGTGGTAATATGATGCATGCATGGACTGGAATCTCTCCTGTCCAGCTGTGTCCCAAAAATCTGCAAATTATCAGAGCACTTCTCATCAAGCAATGGGGTAATAGTCAAGAAGAGGGATTCTGACAGAACTCACCAACAAGGACTGATTCATCACTGATTGTCATACGATGACGATACAGGGTTAGGGCATAAGTTGACAGCTGCTGGGGCTTGTATCCATCAACCAAGAATCTCTCCAAAAGTCTGCAATGAAGAAATAAGTATTAAGTAAGGTTATACTGACCATTTTGATCTTTAAATCACTTTCAATGCATTTCTTGGTGATTGAATTCAGTTTACCATTGGCTAAATCTGTTACCATTTAAATCTGTATATCAGCATGATGCTACTGATGCAAGTTAGGCATTCCATTCAACTCACACCAAATGTTCAAACAATCTGGCTAAATTATCACAGCGTGGCTAAAACAATGACATAACACAGTAAAACAATGGCATAACCTTGAAGGAAGAATAATAGGAAACTAGCAATATCAATGAAGTCAACTTCTTTCCCCATTCATCAAGCACAAGCTGGGTTACCCGGCGTTGCCCGGGATATTTTTTAGGAGTAATATAGCTGTTGTTCTTTTATATGCTTTTTTGTTAGTGCTTATTTGTCTGAGTCTGACCAGACCGACGGGGACGGGAGCACTGCTCTGGCCATTTTATTTTTATTTGTTTTTTTCTTATTTTTTAAAAGTTGTTCTAAATTAATTCTTAACTCAAAGGGGCTCTTCTTTCACAAAAATCTAACTTAAATGAGTTTCTCAATGATATTCTTATTTCACAGGAAAAACTAAACTCCATTTTCTCACACATATTCTTTCTTACTGGACTGAAAAAAAATTCTAAATTCTAAATTGTCTCAATCATTCATTGCAATGCTTGAGAAATCTAGCTGGCCTGGAACACCCTTTTTGGGACCCCGAGACCCCCCCCCCCCCTGACCCCGACCCCCCTATGACCTGCTACTGGACAGACCCCACCCTCCTGCGAAGGTTTCAGGTCGATATCTCCAACGGTGTCCGAATGCATAGCGTCAGATGGACAGAGGCAGACAGAGATCCTTGCTTATAGAGATAGATTGTGCAAGTTTTCTTCATGTGGCTACATCATGTGACCTTGAAACTTTACTGATTTATTCTACAGCAATAAAAAAAGGTTAAATATATATATAAAAAGCATAATATTTTTGTTTACCTTTTTTTGGACCACCCTGGAGATTCTCCTGTTTCACACTTCAGTAATGAACTCCTGGGTGTTTCTTGAGGATAATTAAAAGAATTCCCCATCCCATTAGTGACACTAGCAAGCTTTCTCTGTGAAGAATCATTTTATGTCCTTGAAACTTTGGTCAATTTTATGAGTCTGTGTATCAAACTCAACCACTACCACTCAACTTCCTCATGCTGCAATTTCAACAGCAATTGCGTATGTGACAAGTAGTCCTCACCTATCTCTCTCAACAATCTTTTTGCTAAGCATTAAGTTTATATAGTTACAACTTATATGTTATTATAATGTATGTTTGATAAACAACAATTTCCTGAAGAAAAAAATAACAGGAAATTAACCCTGGAATAAGCCATTATTAGGACATTGGCAGATACTCTTCCTTTGAAACATTGTTGTGGAAAGTTCAAGAAGGAAATTTTCCACACAGGCTCAGTTTGGCTCCAGATTTGATTTATCACCAAATACTTAGCTAAAATTAGCTATAAGGATAACATGATTTGTGCAAGAACGGAAACAATAAATAGCTGAATTTTCGCCAATTCTAATCTTATTTGCTGCTTAGAAATAACTCTTTCTAAGTAGGTTTCCTATCCTCTGGTGAGTCAAAAATAATGTGAATAATCAATCGACTATGACAAGGTAGGCTGTCCACTAACATTAGGCCTACCTTTACCACCAACCTTCCCAATGAACTGAGTAATCGCTAATGGGAGCCCCATCATTAGAATGTGCCATTACTGAAATAAACTGAAACTCACTTGGACTTTCCCACGGCGCTATCCCCGAGACAAATGACCTTGACGGCTAACTCTCCAGCCTTAGTTTTCTCGTCATAATCGAGTTCTGCCTTCTCGCCGAGAGAATCACGAATTTCCTCGTTGTTTTGCTGAGCAGCCATGTAATACGGGAAGGTCGTGAGCTTTCCATTCCCTGAATTGGAGGATAATCGATTGACATGGGAAGAGTGGTCACGTGGTACCAAGACGCCGCCATATTGATATGTTCAAACAAAAATCTACAGTGCTTATCGAATGAATTCACCCCCCACCTCTGGAGTAGGGGAGGGCGCTGATGGTGGTGCAACACGAATGACATCTGTTTTTCATCCAAGGAACTGTCAATGACAAGATGTTACCAGCGTTCGCGATCCTAACCAGTCCCGCTAATACAGAACACGGATAACATGAA